GAGCTGTTGTAGGAAAACCAAGTCCTTACCCCTGTCACAAAGAGCCAATAATCACAACAGGTTGAAGCAGGAGAGCAAAAGGTTTACTGAGTATCGAGACCCAAGGAGACAGAGTCGCGTCTCCAAAATGCCTGTCTTCCCAAGCTGGGGAATGGTTAGGGCTTTTAAAGGGAATCGGGCTAAGAGGGATGCTGATAGTGTTTTCTTCTCGTTATAGGGTGAGTTGTAGTTGTCTTGTGATCTCTCGGCCCTTCTTCCAGTCACTGATAAAGGACCATCCTTGGTCCTTCAGGCATCTCGCACCTGTCGCGCTTGCAGATTAACTCTGCAAGGAGAGGGGGAAGCATGGCTGGCTATACTATTCACTTAGAAGAGAATGGTAAGGGGGAGGAAAACAGCGAGTTTGTCACTAAGATCAAGGTCTACTTTAATCATGCCCATTAGCTGGTAAAGGTTTTGCGGGTTTCAGTGAGGGGCCCCTTCAACCTGCTATTTCAGCCTTCCTCGGAGAGAGGCAGCTCGGGTGGCGGTGCTGACCCCCACAGGGAGAGAGCTGAGTGTCTCCGGGAAGGCCTTCTGACCGCAGTAGGTACCTCTGGGCTCCACGTGGAGCTGTGCTTATAGCACCATGGAGGGCGAGAGCTGCGCGCCTTCAAACGAGACTTAGTGGTGGACTAGGGTGCCTTCGGGCACTAACTGGGAGAGCTAAAGAGCTGTGTTAACACTTGACTTAGCGGGTGGAAGCCAGGCCTGAGGCGGGGGCAGAGGGCCGAGAGAGGAGGCATATCCCAAGGAGACCAGGAAGAGCCTTTCCAGGGGGCCGGGAGGAGCATGCGCACAGGGGACTGAGAGACGCCATGAATGGCCGGGGGGCGCTGAGAGAGCTGTCCTGCCCTGAAGAGGAGAGACTTCGCCTTCATGCTTCCTGATTCTGATCCGGATCCTGAGCTGTGGTCTGTTACTTCCTGATAAACCTCATATTCGTGGGTGTTGTCTATGAGTTCTGTGTGGCC